AGCGCCGGCACGCAAGGACATTCATTCCTGCCCGTCACACTCGCATTCTAGCGGGGGGTCGGCGGGGTGGCAATAGGAGCCGGCGGGGTGGCAACAGGAGCCGGCGGGGTGGCAACAGGAGCCGGCGGGGTGGCAACAGGAGCCGGCGGGGTGGCAACAGGAGCCGGCGGGGTGGTAGTAGGAGCCGGGGTCGTGGTAGTAGGAGCCGGGGTCGTGGTAGTAGGAGCCGGGGCGGTCTCAGTAGAACCAGCAGTGGTAACAGGAGCAGGCGTAGTAGTGCCGAAGCAAATATAGTTCGACACCTCTGATACCGCTTGCAGAATAACTTCCACAATATTGCTGGAGTCGCTTGAAATGAATTGCAGGAAGGACGTAGGCTGACCCAAGTACTGCTCATTGAAGAGCTTCCATTTCTCTACAGCAGCAGCTTCGGTCTGTGGCACGAGGAACACAACCTGTGCATCGTTCGCTTTTATGACTGCAGCCGCCTGTTCCATGGTAGGGTAGTCGTATATGCGACACTGATCCGAAATACTGATACTGTGGAAGCTATCAGGGAAAGCGGGCATGAAAATCGGAGGCCTCGGCTCCTCAGGAAGGGGTTCCTCATTATACATTTCATAGTCCGTAGGGTCATGAGGTACGGCATCAGTTGACACAACGATCATCCTAGCAGCTGCGAACTGATCCGAGGGCTCTTTCAAATGATTATTGATAGCTCTCCAGCCTACTGCGGAGTCGGAGACGACGTTGATCAGAGCGTGAAGCTGAGCCTCCGGTATATCACCACCACCGCTAGCGTAAAGCGTATCGTAAGCCTTCTGGAATTCTGCAACCTCAGGCGTCATCTTCGAAGAGATGCGGTAACAAAAGTCGTCTGGTTCACCAAGGTCCCTGTATGGCTTGTCCTTGAACTCTGCCGCGCCGAACCAGGATCCCGGGTTCTGCTCTAACACTTTCTCAACAATCACAGGAATGTTCTTTGACACATTCGGAAGATCATCATCGAATGATCCAGTTGTGTCCTGCAAGATCATCAAGTCAATCGGTAAGAAGCATGACTCGCTGTAGCTCTGTCGTCCGTAAACTAATGACAAGACAGGCACGACCGCTCCAATAACTCTCATGCTTTTCAAAAACGGCCGAAAGTAATAAAACGGAATAATGTTCTAATTTCTTGTAACGCCTGTCCCGATATCCCGACGGCGGCCTGTCGTCTGCTCTTGTGGGGTGCCCCGCTGTGTGTTAATAGACACACACCAACAGCAACAATAAATCAACTCTTCTTTCTGCACATTACTAAATCGAAAAAAAACTATCTATTTTTCATAGTCGATGCTGAGCTTCTTGGGTTTATGGTTCACCTTGACAACAAGCGCCGGCACGCAAGGACATTCATCCTGCCCGTCACACTCGCATTCTAGCGGGGGGGTCGGCGGGGTGGCAATAGGAGCCGGCGGGGTGGCAACAGGAGCCGGCGGGGTGGCAACAGGAGCCGGCGGGGTGGCAACAGGAGCCGGCGGGGTGGCAACAGGAGCCGGCGGG